GGAGCAGAAAGCGAAACATGGTTGAAACCTCAATCGCGAATTTAATAGAAATTGCACGAAAAAGAGCGACGACACAGAAGACTGCCGACGTGGGCTCAAAAAGACCGCTTTTAACTCTCCCCAAGCGGCTTGTCGACACCTGCGAAACTTTACCGAGACTAAAATAGGAGCAAAATAAATCCCCGGCCAGCATTTATCCTTCTTCCTTTGGAGGACTTCATAAGATTACAGGTAAAGGTCAAGCAGTCGTCTTTACGCAGCGTTATTTCGGGAACAGTACCAGACACCAGCGGCCGCACCCCCCCCCCCCCCCCCCTTTTTCCAAACACGCACAGACAGACACAACAAGGAGGAAACTGCAGGGGGGAAATCCACTAATCAATAAGCGCAAGGATGTCCTTAGAAAGGTAAAGAATGGAAAGGCGCGAAACAGATCATGCCATTTCTGTATACAACCGCCAGGACTTAGGAAAATTCCCGCGGACAACGGTAAATCCCCGCCCCCTAAACGTGGCCCAAATTAAAAAAAAAAAAAAAAAAAAAAAATCCTGCAGCGTGTTGAAAAGACCTGGCGGAGACTGGGAGGAGGAGGTACGGGACTGGGATTCACACAAAGTGGTCTAGATATAATAAAGAAGAAAAGGAGGGGACCGAAGAGAGGAGACCCCACATTCCAGACGACGACGCAGCTCCGGACACACACCAGGGGCCCCTACGAAGAAGCGGAATTCCCACGCCAAACAAAGTGAAAAAAAAAAAAAAAAAAAGAGGAAAGACGAGGATCGAATAACAGATACAAAATGAGAAAACAGCAAAACGACTCAGGGGACAACAAAGAAAAGGGGAGGGGCGCGTTTCTTTTCCAGTTCCTTTTCGAGCCGAGGCCAATGGCAGCTCTATTTTTTTCTTCCTTCGGTGGTCTCAGTCGGCAAAGCGGGCTGGCTGAAGGGAGTCGCAAGATAGAAGTGGCTCCGAAACCACGTCAAAAAACCTTATTTTCTACACCCACGGAGACTACTATAGAAGCGGCGAAACAACACGCAGTGAAAGAGAAATGCGCGACCCTTCAAAAGGCGGGAAAAAGAATCGTCGCGTCCACCTAAAGAACGAAGACGAAAAGGCGCAGGTGGCCATTACGTTTGTTCCTTTCTGAGCGATGTTGTATAATGGATCTACTAGCGCTGCCCCGCGAATACACCTTCGAGGCGTCACGCATATCATCGTCCGGATGCCGTCATGAGCTCACCGCGAACGATAATCTCGGGACTGTTGACCCACCAAGGGGAGAACGAATACGCCTCGTTTCGTACCGTGCTCCCGGGTCCCAAATCTGTATCGTGACAATGAGGTGGTACTGCGTGAAAGTAGCTGCCTGTCTACTTACACCCTAAGAAAGGTTTGCGCGTCTACTTACCCGCAAAACACTCAAAAAGCCAATCTCTGCGGAGTACGATATCAGTTCAGCGAATGATGAGGCGGAACATCTGTTCAGACCTCGAAATGAAGTATGCGCTGTGGCATTACGCAATGCGAAGCATCATGGTTGCACTGCGTAATGCCACAGCGCAGACTTAATTTTGAGGTCTAAACAGATGTTCCGCCTCATCATTCACTGAGCTGATTTTGTAGATTGCAGAGATTGACTCTTTGAGTGTTTTGCGGGTAAGTAGAGGCACAAGCATTTCTTGAGAGTGTGGTGGCAGTCAGTTCATCGAACGACTTTTCATCGACAAATCGTGTCATCAGTTTCTTTTTTCATAAGTTGCATGAGATTGTTGCTGCGAAGCGGCGTGTACGGGTATGTCAGTTGGGTTAACACTTTTGTAATAAGCCGCCGCAGACTGTCGCCGCGAAGCGGTGTAAACGGGGCGGCTAAATAAGTTAACACGCACCCCAGTGATACACGCGCAACGAAATGTCCCTACAGCGAGCAATTAACGCAACGAGTGTCGATGAAACGTTCGTGTCGACGAAACGTGTGTCCATGAAAAGTTGTGCACGAAACAATTGGGGCCGGGCGGAACTACCTAGCGCCGTATGCGAGATGCCTATGTAGAAGGCACAGGCAGGAATGTACCGTTTTCTAAAATGCTCTCCGTGCACGAACGCTCATTAAAACGACTCATCGTTGCACGCGCGCACTGTCATGCCTGTTCCTCTACAGCCCTGCATGCAAACTTGTAAGATTCAGTGCAAACATGGATTCGTAGAGTTCGACGAGCCCAGACGGCTGTAAGCGCTGCTTTTCTCAAAACGGCTGCGGGCGGGGCAACCGAAATGGACGGCACCAAACGGTTGGAAATCCCCAGCTGAATGAACACAACGGCAACGCACGGCCCCCTCCTACCACCGAACCAGGATCGAGCAAAGCCTTTTGATGGGCGGCACTCGACAAAGCGAGTCCGTTGGCAGGACGGGACTTGCAAGGTCAACCACACAAAGAAGGAAGGGGCGCCGGAGGCACGTAAACGAACACGCCTGGACCTGTCCCGAGAGTGAGTCACCCCGACGGCTCGATCGCTCCGTGGGCTTTTCGTGTTTTGCGAGTCTACCCCCCGCCTTTTTTTTTATTATTTTTTAACAATCGCCGCCGCCCCTGCCGACCGATCCTCGTTAAAGCAATGGCCGCCTTGTTCCGATCAATAAGATCTTCCAAACGTGCGCACGGCCAACTCAAACGTCCTCCATAAAAACTGCCGCCAATGGGAGACAGTGCAGCGGTGCGTGAGTAAAACGAGAGGACGAATTAGTTGCTCGCGTGCGCGCGTTGTGCGAACACTTTGCAGGCAGACGCGAGCCTCGGTTCTACTACACTTCTGCTAGAGAAAAAGCAAATCGCGAGAAACCCCAGAACAAAGATTTGGAACAAAGATGCAGAAAAAGCTTCGCGTGACTTCGGTGTATTTCTGTCAGGCTGCTAGAAATGTGAAGAACAACGATATGACTTAGTGCCCGTCGCACGGCATCATCGATTGAACGAAGAAGAAACTGCGTGAGGAATGCGGTGTCGAGCCAAACAGGCGCTTGCCGCTTGTTTTCAATCGGCCCTGAAAGGGCCGATAAAATCGAGGTAACTGTGATGTGCCACCCAGTTGGGCGCATGACGTTTTCGTGAACGCCGAGTTTTCATCGAAATACGCTTTAGCGAATGGTCGGCCGCCGCGAAGCGGTGTGGCCAGGTCGGTTGACATTTTTGTAACGAGTCGCCGCATCGCCGCAGACTGTCACCGCGAAGCGGCGTGAACGCAGGGGGGCTTGAACACACGCTTTGGCCATTCGAGTGCTGGAAACGAAACCCAATTATACAAGCCTGATCTTGACTTCAGATCATCCACTGTTTCCCGCGTTCTCGGAACCCGCACTCAGTCGTATACTTCTAGAAAGTGGTAAAGACCGGCGAGATGTCGGTAAGTAGCGCACACGAAGAAACGGAAACCATTACGAAGCCGACAAACGTTTCATCCACCTCGAAGCAAAAATGGACCATATTCTTCGAGATGCGCCTGCCAGAACGTGCAATGTCCAACGACAACAAACACAGACGTCTCCTCAAAACAAACGCAGACATGAAAAAAAAAAAAAAAAAAAGGAACGAATGTTGTGACTGCGCCCGGGACACAGCTGCTATTTTTAAGCGTGCGCTGAGACCTCGGCGCGAAAGATATACGATGACTCTAGGGAAGAGATATTCAAGCAAGCAGCAAGTGCTGCCTGCGTACAAGGTCGAACATGCGCCGCGCTCTCGCCTCTACGCGGACGCGTACCGCGCTGCAGTCGACGGCTCCGTCGAACCAACGATCGTGAATCCGCTCGACCGCCTTGTTTACACAGCGAACGCCTCGAAAACCCGGTACCCTCGACCGACTTCTTATTCGCCAAGACAAGCGGAAGAACTGTGTTGGGGAGTGAGCAAAGCCAGCCCCACTCCAAAATGAGGACGGGTGAAGCGACGCGGAGCCGCGAACAAACAAAAAAGGACGAGAGCAAAAATGTACACGCACAAAGACGCACCTTTTAAATTGCCTTCTTTGTGTTTGCAGTCAAGAGACGACGACTGGGGGCTTCCGCGTGCTAAAGGGAACAGCGACTCGCAAGAGAGGCGAGGGCGCTCATTCTCCGGAACAAAACAGACACGCGGATGAGGGGACGACGGCGAGTCAGGCGGAACGAGGTCGCGAACCCGGCGGAAGGACGCGGGTCTTCCCGACCGAGAAGCCTGGCGAACGACTACCGCCGAAGGAGCCTGCAACGTAACCGCAGGATCGGCGAGGCTCACCAGTAAACGAGAAACCTCGATTTCGGCAGGCATCACCGCGCGGAGAAATCCGTCCGAACAACACCACACCAAGAGGCGTGATAGGAGATGAAACGCGAAAGACGATAACCAGGCGGGCTGTTGAGTCGCGCTAAATTAACTACGAAAGTCTCACTGTGTCGAACTGCAAACGTTTCAGACCCGAACGCACGCAAAATCGGCACACGCCGTTGGAAGCTGCGCAACTTCCATCACGTGGCGTTCTTCTGTCGACCGTAGGAGCCGAGACGGTAAGGATGCATTCCTCGCCACTAGTCAGAAGTGCCAAGATTGTACTGCTGCAACGGAAACAGTGTTTCGGCTAAATTCTTTCGCACACCCATCGAAGTGCAGTTGCTGGCACTTCCAGAGTAATGAACAATAACCGTTATATGCTGCTTTTAGAGATGAGAGAAGAGAATTAGATCCCGCCCGACAGAAAAGGATGAAACGATCTCTTCAAAGCCATCTATTTGCGCAACAAGAGGTACTAATTACGACCCCAAAATTCGTACTTTTGTCCTTTGAGACCGCGCTAAGCACGTGTTACCTCCGTGAGCACGAACTAAGTCGCCGAGTCTCAAACGGGCATTGAATCCGTGAAAAGATGGTGACATGTGGAGCCATCAATCATCCCAAGACCGCACAAGGACACGCCTGGCGGACATCGCTAGCACGAGGAGCGACAGGAGGGAGCCGAACTCACCGGAATGGCGGCGTTTGTCGAAGAAGGGCCCGAAACGGCAGCGAAGCGACGCGGCACTGTCGACCGTTGCCGCGTTAATCCTCAACACGCAAGCACACACACACACCGATTGTCGCAGCACGTAATCCAACGAGAACGGAGGCCGACGAACAAGTGTACGACACACCGAAATCTTTCAACTGGGAGAAGGGACGGTCTGATCGCCACTCCACGGACGGCCAGTGGAGTCGAAGCGAGCAGGAGGGGACCACGAAGCGGCAAGGTCAGTGTTCGCCGGGCGAGCTGGTTTCTGCGGGGTCGGCGAGCGAGGCGGCAGACCTGCCCTCGCCGCAATGGGCGAGGAGGAACCACGCTCGGACGGCAACAACGAAACGGCCGAACCTCCGGCAGCACCGAAACACCCCGGCGAGGAATGCGCTTCGCACCTGGTCAGAAAAACACCGTTGGTCGCTCCCGCGAGACACTCCCAACTTCGTGCGACGACGCGATCACAGCCCTTGTCGCAGCCAGCAACGGTAATCCGGGAGGTCGATGGAGCCAAGTGTCACGGCGGCCGAGGAGGTCCTCGAGAACTCCGACGATTACTGGTGTGGACCGTAAGGAGCTCGAGCCCCGAAACACAGAGAAGAGCACAGCGTTGCGACTGACAATGTCAGGTGTGCGGGTTTTGGGTCGCGCAACGAGGTGCCTCCGGTGTCTCGACCGCTTAAGAGTAACACCGTGACCTCCTCCACCCGGTGGCTTCCTTCAGCACCGACTGAGGAGCGCGAGAGGCGAGCAAAGCCAGAGAGAAAAGCCCCGCGGCACGCCGGGAAGGGGGAAAGGGAGAAGCGAAACTTGTGGCGTCATCTGACGGTGCTCGCGGTGACTACCGGAGTCGTCCCCGACGTCGCGCCCGCCTCTCGACAGTCCTTCGCCCTCTCACAGTCCCGTTAGTTTCTTTTTGTTTTTTTTACGCTGCTTTTTATAGCCACAATTGTAACATCCCTGCCACGCGATTTTCTCATTTCGATTGTCCCTCTCTCCGCGTGTGTATGTGCGTCCAACCGTACGTCACGTCTCCCGCATAACGCGCGCGCTGTTTGTTCGTCTGTCGTTATCGAATCCTCGAGGCTCTTCGTGCGAGTTGCTCGTAGCAGCTCGCTTCTGCTCTGCTCGGTCTTCGTCCATTATTTAGACAACCTCCCCGCTTTGATGCGCGCAGGGAAGAGGAGGGGAACCTCGGTTCTCCAACCTCTCCGCGTCTTCATCATTAAAACAACTCGCCTTTATTTCCATTTTTTTTTTCCTTTTTCTTTCACAAAAGAATAAAACTCTACCTAGTCAAACATTAGGGCGCTGTTCGCTCTGTGCCCTGGGCGTAAAAACGAATAAAATAATGATGCGACGCTTAAGCACGGTATGAGTCTCGCAGCGAAAGGACGACCAAACCGTCCAACGCCGGCGGCTTCCGGAAACAGAAGGCTGAGGAACGGAACGAGCGAGGATGTCGAAGAAGGTTGTCGGGGCCACTGCCTCTCGACTACGGGGAGACGATGGCTCGCGCGTCGGCAGGCATGCGCTACGTGCTTCGCCCCGAGTCAGACCCCCCACCCAATGGTCCTGAAGCATCGCGACCTCCCGTTCACTCTACCGGGACCGAAGCACCGTAAATATTTGAGTCGGCCGAAGTGGGGATTTCGTCGAGCGCGCAGGGCCAATACGATACGTTCCGGGTCAGGGATTCGCTTCTTTTTCTCTCGTCGTATTGGCCAGAAAGAGCATGCGCCAGTCGTTGAGAGAATTCATATTTAACGGCGGCTTTCATGCGGGCCCCGGGGCCTCCTAAGCGACCCCGGCTTCCCAGGCCAGGCCGCGAGACGTCTCAGCGCTCGAAGCGCCTCCTTCGTTACCTTTTTTTTTTTTTTTTTTTTTTTTTTTTTTCCATTTTGTGTTCGAATACGTTTCAATATTTATGCTCGTGAGGTTGGAACGGACAAAACTTCAAATTTTGGCTGAAAAATATCGAGACGCTGGGCCACAGAGCCTACTTGCCGAGTTCATCGAACATCGACCCGCAATATTTCGGCATAATATAGAAGTAGTAATTGGCGCCGTATTAATACTGCCGAGAGGTCAATTTAACGAGGGGCACAGCGTTTCGGGCAATTAACAAATTTTGCTTAAAAAAGTTTTGGTTCGTGAAAATAAACATATGGTTCCAGCGAGACGCTTGCTGAGCAACATCAAAAAACGCAGAATCATTAAATATTACAAAAACTTGGAGCTACCTAAAAAATATTTTTGTAGAAATAATTAAAAACTTCATTAACGTAGAGTCGTACACGATTTGTACTTCAATAAATCTGCCTCTTAACAGTGTCTAACGCCGGACCAATATTATTTCCGAGCAATACGTAGTTTCAGACAAACTATACTGGCCGATGTCCGATGAAACACCTCGCACATTTTTTTTTTTATTCGAACTAGGGTTCCTCTTCCAAAACCTAAATAGCGTCCGGGCCAAACTGAACCATATTTACATACATCCGCATGAGTAAAGAACAAGAAATTGATGGTACAGATTTACAACGTAATTCTAATACAAGTATCACGACGACGCGTTCCTCCGCCTAATTCGTCTTCCCTTAACGGCCATACTAGTGGAAGGCATTGGAAAAACTGATACACGAAAAGATCAAACACAAACGGAAAAAAATTAATAAAAATATGCGCCGTATTAAAAAAAAAAATCCTTTTAATGTTTGGGTCGTTAGGAGAGCCAACTATACGGCCTTCCATTCCCCGAATAGCCTTGCCTCAACGCCAACAGTCTCATTCGCCTCAACGTTTCGACACCCCCAAAACGGGCAAGCCAGAGAAAATAGGCCCCAGCCGATGGCAACCGCGCACGGGTGGAGAGATCCCCGACCGATCCAACGGCGATGATGACGACGACGTTGTAGCAGCGAGCGACCGCGTTCGGAAGCATCTCGTGCCGTCTGGAGAACGCTAAGGTCTTTTGTGAATCATATCTTACGGTCGAGCTAGACAGCACATTACGCAGGGCTGCTGTAGAAACCGACGCGTCGCCGCCGATGCGTGACGCAACGACGCGACGATAAAACGGTGGCATGCCACGGCTGGAGAGAAGGGTGCAGAATTCGCGCCGCTTTCGATCATCGTGCGTGGCTCGTTGAAACGAACAGAAGCGCAACAAGAGTTGCAGTAAGGGTAGTCACTTCTCGTTTGCGTTAGAAACACAGAGGAGGCTAGAAACACGAACTGCGTAAAGGGCCGCCCACACTAGCGAGAAAACGCGCGTGGCACGCCGATCGCGGCAAGTAACAAAATGTCGCCGAAGCACAGTCAGCGCCACGAGCGCGTGCAGAGACACGCCCTTTATCTTCCCGCTTAACCGATTTATCGGCGCGCCGGGCGCGTTTTCTCGCTAGTGTGGGCGGCCCTTAACATGGTACTCCCTGAAAGCCGGAATTAAGATAACCGAAACGAGTAAATAGAAACGCTAATGAAAAATCCGGAAAAGTTTAAAGGAATGTTGTTATTTTAATGGGGATTTCATTTTAAGCTCAGATAACCCCGCACACCGAGCTTTCAAAGTATGCACCCATTAAATGAATATACACTTATTCTTTAAACAATAAAAATACGAGGGGTCGGTAATTCAACGCATGCTGTGGAATAAATTGACGGCTTCATTAGAACGATTAATCACGTAAGCAGACATTTAAGAAATATATTTAGCATCTCAGCATTTTAAGCGAGCAACATAGCCCATCACATGGACCTGGAAGAGACTCGGGATTGGTCTGAAAGAAGTATAGAAAAAGTGAGAACTTCCTTCTCTCTACCCTATCTAAGTCCGAAGGATGGGTGGGCGTGGCATCTGGAGCGTCACTAAAATTCGGAATTTGGAACAACGACGGAAGCCTACTCTCAATCATGAAAGAACTTTTACGCGCTTTTACGACCACTGGCAACGTAACGCTACCGAATGGCGAGCAAGCCATCCAGTTAGTAAAAGGGGAAGGCAACTAGCAAAGTAAAAAAGGAGCAGCGGAAGCGTGAAGCTCCACCAGGGAAATCGAGAAAGAGAAAAAGGACAACAGAATCACGGGCGAGAAAACAACAAAATGAGGGGACTCGATTCGCGGTCTTTCAAAGCGGGACCCGTTCTCCTTGAAGCCTCCGCAATACCCGTAAGAGCAGCCGAGAAACGAAAAATCTCCAAGCACCCAGAGAACGAAAACCTGGCGCTGCCAAAGAGACCCGCGATTGTTCCCACCGCATGTACGAAGACCGCGCGCGCGGACAGCGTCATTCCCCGCAGTTGCTGATAAAGCGGCGCCTCGTTAGAAAACATCCCGCAGTGCCTCCACTTAATGGGCTCATCTCATTCCGCGGTGGTCGTTATCGTCGATGAGAGGTGACTTAAACCGACTCCAAGGACGAGCGCGCTCCCAACAACGGCGGAGAGAAACGCTTTTCAAAGTCCGCATCGTCGCAGTCCTCTCGAGGAATCTCGAGCAGCGCTGCTGCGGCGCCGCGGTAACAATGGGCGATTACCTTCGGGGCGGTCGCGGCAGGGCCGACGGCCGTGCCAACAATGGGCCCCACACAGGCAGAGAGAACCGCCATCCAAACGCTCTGCGGGCTCTGAGAGTGTCCCACGCCCGTAGCCGGCACCGTATACGAGAACAAGCTGGTCAATGTCAACTGGGACGACCCGCGCGAGGTTCACATTCCAACAGGAACGTGCGAAGACAGCGGGAGACCTCCCAAACAGGCCGGAAATCTCCCGTTTTGTGAGCTCTTATCTTAAGTTACTTTGTTGCCCCGTAAATTGGTCAGGAAAAAAAAAAGACATTCGAGAGATAGGTTAGAGCTGAGGCTGGACTCCATGGAGCGAATACGCCGCGAAAAATGTACGAATTTCGCCCGGCGAGTTTCGCATTCTCTGCGCGTGGCAGCGGCACAGTGGCTGCTGCCGCGTCGCGCGCCAAGCGAGTGCGCCTTCGGGAGAAGTTCGTCAGTCCTATTCGTCGCATATTCGCTCCATGGAGTTCAGCCTTTTAAGGCAGGTTCGCATATTTGTGCCGGTTGGGTTCACAGCAACCGAACCGACAACAACGACGAAGTCAGCGGGACATCGTTCGCCGTATACACGCGACGTGGTAGCTTCCCGAAGTTATCGTGAGTCAAGGTTGTTTTGCTGTTCTGGTCGTGTCTGTCGTTCTGGTCGTTGTGAACGCAACCGTGGCAAATGGACCCCAGCAAAACGGACGGCAACTAGCGGGGAAACGCTGAACTGGGCGGAACAGGTCCTTTCGCGATGTCTGCTCGTCCCTTGTGGCTTCCGCGAGCACATGTTGTCGGCGGCTGGCGCGATGAAACCGTTCTCTCGGCGACTCCGTCGTTGCTGACGCAACAACATCGTGTCGTCCAGGTCGCTCTAAGCGCAACCCACGCAACCGCGCGAACCAGACATTGTGCGTTTCACAACGTTCATCAACACCGTAGAAGGATAGCAGACAGTCCTTTCATCGCTTCCACGAAGAAGGTTGATCCCCAGAAGCTCCATTTGGCCAATACAATGCTGCAGGTTTGAAACGTTGCGAATAAAAATCGGGGCAAACCATTCTGAGTCAAATATTCGACTGCTCAAACCCGAGAGTTAGCGTCGAGCAGGCCCATGTTCACAGCACGACTTGTTTCATACCGCCATATTTGAGCGATAGTGGCGACCCCTATAGG